AGCAGAAGCAAAGGAGCCGAGAGAGCAGAGAGTGATGGCTGGAGCAGGCAGCTCCGGCTTCTTTTCGGGCGCATTAAAAATTCAGCAGCAGGGAGCAGGCCAGGGATTTGCAGTAATTAGATGACAAAACGGCGTCGGGCGCAGGGCGCTGCAGAGACGAGAGAGGGGTCACACACGCTGCCTTCGCGGCTGGGTAATTTGTAAGTGTCAATCACAGCACTGCCAAGAGAGTGCCTGCGAGAGAGAGAGAGAGAGGTCTGGTGGTGGAGGGGTGAGGGGGAACAGAGATGGAGAGAGAGAGGGCAAGTCAGAGAGGAGAGGGAGTGAGACAGTGGCAGAACAAATCTGGGGGGAGAAGGAGGAAGAAAGGAGGTGGCAGAGAAGGGAGAGAGGTAGAAAGCGAATGAGGAGCAGAATAAGCAAGAGTCCGTAGGAATATCTGACAACAGCAGCATTTTTCACATTTTCATTGGCTTTGGGGGGATGCAGCCACCTACAACACTACTGGCAGGAAAGCTCTCTCAGGAATCACGGAGGAACACGATCTGGATAAGACAGCATCATCCATGGGGACATGACTGTATCCCTCAGCATCCCAGTGCAGAACTGTAAAATACCAGATTTCCTAGTTATTTTCAACACAATTTCAGAGATCCTGTAAGCATTCTTGACCGGCAATGCCAATCTGGATTGCTTATTGGAAAAGTAGCCATTTCACATCAGCAAAGCAGGAAAACACTGGACAAAGCACTGACATCACTGGATTAAGATAAAACACCCCAACTGCCAATTCCATAACTGTTACCAATCAGGAAGTGTTTATAATTAGTCCCAATGTACAGGAAAAATATAAATGTATGGAGCACAATGACTTTATTGTTTTAAACTGCAGATTATTTCAGTATCTGTAAAATGCAAATTCCAAAAATAGTAGGAAAAGATGGGCAGCAGCAGTGTCTGTCCAAGATGGAATGCAGGACTTCACTTCAAATAAAGGACTTTAGCAATATGTCAGTGGAAGGAACCTCCATTCTAACTCTGAGTTACAGGTAGCCAGTGAAGATTTAATGATCATTACAAATTAAAACCTGGAAAAATTGGTTAGAAAGGTATACAAGCCCATGATTAATAGCAATTGTAAACTGGCTCTGGTGTAATGAACTGCCTAACAAATCATACCATGCTTCTGATGATTTCAGAATAAAATCAGCTGTTCCTGTAGGTCTGCTCCGCCGAGCAGTGTAAAGACTCAGCTTGGTCAACAGGGAGCTATCAAAATGACCTCCAGGATAAAGTTGTGACACAGCACAGAGCAGGAGAAATGCCTAAAATGTCCCTTGAAACAGTCATGGCCATCATTAAGAAGCTGAAGGCATCTGGAACTGCCAAGACCAGCTCAGGTCATCCCTCCAAAGTAAATGGCCTAGCAAGGAGCCCGATCAGAGAGGCCAGCAATGTCGTGTCAAAGACTGGTCAGTGTGGACATATCACAACAAAATCCCAGGCTCTTCATAAGTCAGGGCTGTATGGGCGATAAGGAAGCCACTACTTGAAAAACCCACATCGTCTCTTTTGAGGTATGCAGAACAACAATGAGGAGATTCTGAAGCCATGTGGGAAAAAAACTTTGCAGTCTGATGATTCCAGGATAGAACTTTCTGGCCTAAATGCAAAACGTTGCGTTTGGTAAAAACCCAGTACAGCACATCACCGACAGATTACCATTCCTACTCTGAAATATGTTGGGTACAACATTCTGTTTCAGGGGTGGATTGTAGCAGAGACGGGGCACAGGTCCGGAATTTAAGAGAAAATCAATTAAACAAAATACAGATGGATAATTGAAGAAAACCTGTTGCCCTCTGCAAGGAAGTTGAAATGGGGAAGGAAGTCCACCCTTTCACATGACAACGACCCTGAGCACACATTCAAAGCAACAGAGGAGTTGGTAGAAAAAAAGGTCAGAGACCTGATTCCAATCCAATTGAAAATCTGTGGAAAGACTTGAAGATTGCAGTCCATCAACAGTCCCCTTGCGATTTGATTGAGTTTGAGCAGCTGTGCAAGGAGGAATAGATAAGTCTAGGTGAGTTACACTGGTACAGACCTATCGAAACTGAATTATGGCTGTATCTCAAGCAACAGCAGCTTCCACCAAATACTACTACTTTTCATACTGTTTGAGCAGTTAGTCACAGGGTGGCTGTATATTGAAATGTCTAAATAACAGTAAAAGAGATTCTGATTTAATGTGTCTTGATTTCAGGCTGTTAGGCCACAAAATTGAGGACTTTGGGGCATTATACGGAAAGTCTACACACCCTTTCTGTTACAGGAATCACTGAGCGTGGAGACAAAGAAACACCTACAGTAGTTATTTCAAACTGGGTGTGTCATACCTGCTCTCGCCCAAAGAACGCAGAGAGCATCACTCAGGCTGTTGCCACGTTAACCAAATCAGGAAGAAAATCAATTTTCCAATCACTGCACACCTCCCCAAAATAGCTGGGCTCACACCAGCCAGCCATACACAAACACAGGCAGCTCAGCGGTAAACAAGCTCTGGGGTGTTTGTAAACAGCGAGACAAGGCTCTGCTCTGGTCTCCGTTATACACACGTGTGACACCCTGACACGTCACCCCACCCCCTCTCGCGCCGCACGGAGCTGCTGCGTGTCACACACGTCACCCGAGCACCTCGGATCCACAGATCGGGTGGAGAGTGCCAGGCAGGGGGCTCCTCTTCTTGACGTAACGTCTCCCCGGCCGCTCTCTTCCTGCTTGTGTGTCGTTTTGTACAGCAGCCTTCAGAGCCACAGGGCCACCCGCACATATCCGACTGCGACACAACTAGGAAAGCAAGAACATGCAGCAGAGGTTTTAAAAGAAACTGCAAAGGAGACAGTACCAGTAGGAATCGGTGGTCAATAAATCCAGATAAGAAGTCATTGATATATAAGCACATTTCAGTTAAGGATTCTTATTAAACCGTGCCAGTATGTTTGTCTGCGAGTGTAAACTTTTCACGGCAATTCATCCTCCCTGAAGCAAGAGGGTAAAGACGGCATCCTGAGTGACTGCCCAGCAGTAGACACAGAATTCATAAATAGTTGCCATTAGAATGGTGCAGGCCTTTGCTGTGGAGCAAGGGTTAATTATGTTTCTACCATGATCAGAATTATTGAACCTTATTAATCTGTATGAAGGAGAGTAATATATGATTAATTTCTTTTTACCAAATCTGATAATACTCATATTTTCATTTTCCATTGATTTGAAATGTGTTGCTGTTGCAGCATTCGGTGATCTTGTTCTCCTTGATTGATTGTGACAGCAAATGCTCAACTGAGAAAATAATGATTCCAGCACAAAAATACAAAGTGTTTTTCAGGCATCTCAGCTGGTAAAATCCTCTGCTCAGAGCTTAGGTTGCGCCATCTAAATCAGAGGTCACCAGTTCAAAAGCCAGCCTGTATCACTTGCCCAAAGATTTGGATTAATCCAATTAATGTGTGAGCAGTTTTTAGCTCTGCTATCTGAGCTGTTGGCTGTGTTGAAAGATGAGGACCAAGCATTGCAGTTGAGCTTAGATAGCGATGTCACTGCAGTTGGGTACATGAGTAGCAGCACAGAGTCTTCATCCGTATCTTGGTCACTCAGGGAGACCACCAGTATGGCCGGCTGGTTCCCTTCCTCTGGAATTATTGGATCCCGGTTTGTATGGTTTAAGTTGTAGGGAGCAGGCGATGGCAGACAGCCGAAGAGTCACTGCTCTTATTCCGAACTGGTCCTTCTGTCACAGAGCAGCCTTGGGCAAACGGCCAGTGGTGTCAAGGTGTGGGCGAAAGGGAAGTGCTGCTGTTGTTCTTTTGTTCTTTTTTCCATGTTGGACTTTTGAGCACTTACAGATTTAAAAAAAAACTCCACTAAGTGCCCACATTACCTTCCTGACTTTCTTCCAAAATGGCATGAGAACAATAGAGCAAAAGTAGGGGAAAAAAAAAAGTTTTGATACAACGGGCCTGTCAGTAAATATATATTTTTTTAATTAAAGATTTCAGGGCTGAACAACAGCTGCTGTTCCTGCTGTTTCGAGCAAGTCAAAAGATGAAGTAATAGACTTCTGTTCTTCAATGGCCACAAAGTTATGGCAATGCTCTGTTCCTTTCAAAGCTTTATTTTTCTTAAATAAAATAACTCCAGCACAATCACAGCTGTAATACCCACATATCCTTCACATTTGTGATACGTGTTCAGCATTACAATGGACCACAGCCCCTCAGTTCATTTTCCATTGGTAAAGAATGGCAGTGGGTTCATTCACCATCTTACAAAGTCACAGTCTGTTCTCAAGGCCAGTATTGTACACACTTGGCCACTTTCTCCCTTTGTTAGGACACATTCCCCACTTCTCACACACAGAAGAATACAGGTATTTTTTTAAACACAAATATTGATGAATACACGAGACGATTCACATTTTTATGAATATCAGCATGCTCTAAAAAGAAAAAACTTTCAAGGTCTGATTCAGCCTTTCAAAAGAATATTTTTGCAAATCTGAGCAGTCGGAACGCGGACACACGCACACACATCCTCCTGCATTGTCTTGGCCGTCTTTGTCTTCGTGCAATTTAATTCATTTCTTGGTAAATTGAAAAAAAAACGAAAGGGCACTGCATTAGTGATGAATATAGCAGGCAGATTTCAAAGATCTAGTTCGCACAATACCTTCCCAACCCCCAGCTAAGAAATGTAAACCTTACCTTGTGGCAATAATGCATTCACCATGAAAGACCAAGTGTACAGTATATGCTGTAGGTTTGCAGAGCATATAGCAGCCTACTAGATCACATGGAAAATGTTCTAGGGGTCACTGGGATTTCCCTTTATTGATTAGGCTGCTATTTGATTACCAGGAGACAATTAAGAAATCTTTGTTGCTTTTAAAATAGCGTCATTTACTCAGGGCGTTCCACAGGGTTCCATACAGAGACATCTTTTTTTTTACTACTACTAAGGCAGTTTCTGCACTTTCCAGGTGTCTCCTGGTATTAAGTTAGAGAAACAACTAACTGTTAGCTAAACTGTGCATGACTGAAGTCATAGTCAGATTCACAACGTAACTTTTGCAAAGCTGCTACATTGCTAAAATCAGACACCTGGTGCCATATAGTACAGTACACACAATACTGCCTCTAAACACTCAGAAGATCAATTACTATATATACCCTGCATGTATTCGATACATTTCCTGTAGCTGGTATCTTTACAGCAGTATGTACTCAAAATGACAATATATACTCAGCATCTATATCTACAGTATAGTCTCTAAACTTATAATAACTTTACAGTAATGTGAATACAAAGAGGAGAAGACAGAACAGCATACCGGTTTGTAATATAGAAATCAATCTATTCTTCTACCGTTCTGCAATGCCATCTTACAATAATTTACAATAAAAAATACAGTACCTTTAGGGCTCATTCAATCTGTAAATCTGTTTAAAAAAGGCAAAAAACAGTTTTTGCAGCTATATAATTAGTTTTATTTTATTACTAGAAAAAAAAAAGCTGAATTTACAAATGCAACTTTCTGGAGTAGAACCCTAGAAGGGAGGAGCGAGCCGGTTTGCGGAAGAGCCACACATGCCAGACTGGGGTGGTTCTTGCTCTGTTGCTGTGGGTCCTGAATCTGCAAGCTCCTGGCTCCTAGCATGGCAGTGTTGAACCTGCCCTGTAGTGCCCGCAGCCTGCAGGCCTGTGGTCTGTGGCAGGGGCCGTGTTGCAGGCTGCAGGGCAGCTCGCCAGCCGCTCTGTCCGAAGGGGGCTACCTCGCTGGCACAGCCCAAGGGGACCTGCTGAACACAAGCAAAGGGAGTCAAGGAGGCGACAGAGTGGAGTGACTTTCCCCATTGCATCCGGCCCCGAGCTCCATGCCAGAGCACACAGGCATGTGAGCAACCTCTTCCTCACCCCCACTGGATTCTACAAGTCGCCCCTCTATTTTTGTAATTAGGAATCTGCAATTGTTTTTTATTATACACCTTCCCGATTCAGAATTGGCAATGTTTTCTTTCTCAGAACAATCCCTGTGCTGCAGAACCCTTCACTATGTGATAAACTAGGGGAGCCGAGGTGCCCGACCGGAAGAGCAGCGTTTTCCTCACCGACATCACCCAGCCCCTCTCAGGAGTCGCTATTCACCCCACTGAGCAGCCCAATACGCCGAGAGCTGGCCCCCTCCCGGCTAATCCCTCGTGTCTCTCGCTGCCTGCGACCCGAGCACGTGCGGGAAGCCTGGGTCCTCAAGCCCAGCAAACGTCACCAGAGTCTCTTTCCAAGTGTGACTGACAGTTGCCAACTCATTTCTCTCAGGTCTTAATGTACAGATGTACTGTTATCTGTCATCACGGATATTCGCGAAATAAACAAAACAAAACTCTTCCTCTCATATTATAGCTCCTAAGAAATATAACAGGCCAAATAAAGGCAAATAACAACATTATAAGTTCGATACAGATGTACGGAATTGTTACCGAAACCCTGCTTTCAGGGGAGAATTGATAAGGAAGGTGAGTAGAGTAATAAGTAGTAACTCATTCATAATTAATAAGGCTGGGAATTGCAAACATGAAAAAACGACAGGCATCTTAGATGCATAATGTAGTTCAAAGCACAGCAACAGCATTAAAGTCTCAATTCTTAACGCTGCTCAACATTTCTGGATATGTTCAATATTAGAATGATTGCACCTCAGCAGTGGCAAAATATTCTTGTGTATATATTTTGCTTGAGGGTTCCTGAGGGAAAACTTCTTTCTAGTTTTATCGAAAATGATGAATTGTATTTACTTAAACAACAGATACCCTCTGACAAAGCATACGGCATGCACGCAATCGCGCTTTTAAAATTTTACAACAGCTGTCTCCGGTAGACTGTGCTGAAACTGGGGATCCTGAGTGGAAAGGTTTCTTGAAAAGGCCGAAAAAGATTGGTTTTACGGGATCAGCAGGAATTTCATTCTCCTTTGTTCCTGCCGCCTCTTCCTGGCAGAGAAGGGTAAATGAGAAGGCAAGGGCAGGGAGCCAGAGTGGGACATTCCCGCTTTCCTATTATTTACACCTCTGCTCCCGCTTCCAGGACAGCAGGCACCTGAAGAGCGGCAGCAGGTGAGGAGGCAGGCGGCCGCTGATCGTACCGAGAGCGCCCATTCCCGGCTCCCACGGCGGCCAGCTCCATATGTCAGGAACGCCACACTTGGGAACTTGGGAACAAGGGGACATCTGGGGCCGGCGGTGTATTAAGTGGCGTTTTAGTAGCTCAGCAAGGGGGAGAACAAGGCTGCGAAATCGCTCTAATGAATTCCAGCCTTGGCACGTCTCCGTTTTAATTGCCTCTTCCACGAAGGTGCGCGTGCAGGGCGTCCTCTTTTCAGGAGGGAAAGACAATGCCCGGTGCATGGAGCCAGGCGCGAGAGCGGCGCACACTGGCTCTCCACAGGCCTCCGCACGCCTCGCACCACTAGTGCAACGCACAACTGCCCCGAGTCAGAGCTGCAATGGGGCTGCGGCATTCGCCACATTCAGTCATTTGGAAAAATCTCTTCCAAACAGAGGCAAAGCATAATCTAAAGACATGAAAAGAGAAGACAAATTCCTTGAGAGAACACAAGGATCCAACCAAGTACTGCGTGTAATCCACTGAAAGGCTGTTGTGCATTCATGTGAGGAACTATGGTTTAAAGGGGTTTATAATTAAAAGCAATTAAGGTTGCCCACACAAATCTCTTGATTTTTGTTTAAGCAGACAAAACCGATCAAAGATTTGTTTGTTTTTTTCACATTGGCCAATTATTTATTTCTAAGCTTCAAGTATGCTTTTAATAAACCTGTATTCTGAAGACCTCTTCATGCGTCAGGGAAATACAATCATATGAGCATTGAGCGGCCAGTCTTTAAAACTAATCTTAATTAACAGCTCATCAAACAATGTGAGTGTGATGATTTTTTTTAGGAAACACAAACTGTAATACAATGAAGCTGAAACAGATGAAGTTCAGTGAAACTTTTTTTTTTAAAAAAAGCTTCCTTTAATTTTAGTGTTTGGAAATTTCCTAACGGCCTTGTCACTGTAATTATGCATTGAAGCAATAAGCATACAATCATTTGAACTATAATTATGCACCCTGATCCATTAAATTAAGTGTAAGTGACGCTGTAATCGATGCATAGTGAAATTAATTAACAGAACTTTGAGAGAAGTGTTATTGACAAGTCGGCGTATTCTTTTGACTGCAGCCTCACACGGTTGTGAACAGAAGCTTCTGTTCAGCTCCAAGCCTGCCCTTTTTGCACCGTGCTTTTCCTATCTTTAAGCTATACCAGCTGAAGTTATACTGAATCTTTTTCCTGGTCTGGAAATCGAGTTCTTTCCAGCCTCCACGGCTGTAGGAGCATCGGAGACTGCCACAGCGCAGGTACAGGTAAGCACGGGGCAAGGTCCTACACTGGACGAGCAAGCTGAACCTTTATCTAGGCACAGCGCTGGAAGAACAGTTCGTTCCAAAACCCTTCTGAATCTACTCTAGATTTTCTGTCAATATATTAAACTCTAGTTCCTAAATGTACATGGGGGAAAAAAGCTAAGTAATATATGCTGTTGCTTGAATTTCCTCCTCAAGATGATTAAATAATGGTGATTTTTATTGGTAATAAAAGCTAATCTGCATGAAAGTCATTTTTAATTATTATATGAATATATCTTGTATTTTTCACTATGTGACATCTCCAACTTTAATACACAGACACGGGAAAGACTTTCTGCAAATTCAGCTTGATTAGAAGAATAGTGAAGAATCATTACTTTCAAACTGCCTCCCTGGGTCCTGGAGGGCAGGAGCCAGTTTTTCTGGGGGGAGGAGGAGGGTGAAACATTGGGAGGACACCCATTCATCCTCAGTCCTCCTCCCTGACAGAGACGTAACAGCTGAATCCCGGACGTTTATGCAGTTGGACAAGAGGATGGAAACATGCTGTGAAGGGGGCTGTGTACACCTGAGAAGACCCACCTATGACTAGACCCCTCTAGTCCTCCTCCTCTCCAGCTTCTATCTGCTCCATGATATCTTCCATCACTTCTGACTGCTTCTTCCTTTTGGGGGCATCTGAAAACACAAGGAAGAGAAACACAGGGCTGGTGAGAACACAGCACTCCACTAAACCAAGAGGAAACAACTGTCCCAGAGCCCGACCCCCTTCAATGTTAACTGTTGTGAAAGCATGATGGACTCGCATACTTCATTAATCATTTATACATAAACAGTTCTAAGAATTGAGCCCTAGGATTATGGGGTTTAAATTTGCAACGCATGTAATTGTAAAAAGGGAGTTACTTGTGTGTGTTTTGTACAACACGAGTGGGTAGCCATCACTATCTGAGAATGGAAGTGCCTTCTGTCTTAATCATCTTTCCCGTTCGCTTGCACTTGTGTCCACTGTGGTGCTTCAGTGTTGATCTTGATAAGCTCATTGCCCTCTGCGTTGGAAAAGCAACATTGTCTGCTTGACACGTGGCGACCACAGAGTACTCTTAATGAGGTCTCAGATACATGACATCATTTTAACAACCTCCATTCCCTTCTACAGTTTTAACTATGCATTCAAGAAATTGTTTTTTATAATTTCACCACATTGTCCACAATATCACCTAAATCTTTTTCAATGTCTGTTTCTTAATGCTTAGTGCTTCCAATGTTGTATGTATAATTCATATTTCTCTCTACATGTAATACATTGTTGAATGTTATCTAAGACATTTAGTAATGCATTTGCTGCTTCTAAAGTGTTTTCCATCCTGCCTATTTTTTGTCTGCAAATTTGATTGATGATACTAGTATCTAGATCATTTATGTGAAGGATTTAGATTTTAGTATCATCAGCAAGCTTGTCACATGTTTTTTGAGACTTGTTTAATTATATGCGCTTTTACCAACACTTCTGCTTGAACATGATTAATTTCAAAGAGCTTTGAGACAGCTTTGCCTGCAAAGAAAAACCATTAAACAAAATAAAAATACACTGATCAATTAGCATTTTGTAACCTCAGAAACTGCTTTTATTTCAAGCCAAAGTGATCACATTTTCACAAATATGACCCAAAACGTCCAATGTCTTAGTAGCCACGCCTCACGGATCAGATCCTTCAAGAGCGTGTCCCTTCCGGATGCCACTGCTCCAGCCACTTTATTTCTTTCCATGAAATTTGCAGGAAAAAGTCTCCAGCTGCCAATGTCATTTAAAGGCTGTTGATAGCAATTCACAGGGTTTACGATTTCATTATATTTTTGGGCCAAACAACACATTTCAAGTGTCTGCTCTAAATAACCTTCAAGAAATACTTGTCACTTGAGCCCCTGAAAAGAGGGAAGTACATTAACCACTGTCACTGTAATCTGCATCACCCACGCCAACCAAGTGACTGACAGACAGCATTTCAAAAAAGAGGAAACTACTGCACACACAAGGACTCCCAATTTCCTGAAAGCAAACAGGCTTTGGCGATTTTCATCAAGCAATTATGAAATCCTCATTATCTTAATAAAGTTTAAAATTGAAGATGTTAAATGAAGTAATTTACAGTGATTTGGGGTAATTACATGATTTTCACATAATTAAGAGAGAGAGAGATTTCATGCGCTTTCCTGTATATGAACACACCCAGTGTTTAATACTCATCCACTCAGAGGGACAGATGTTGTGGGGGCAGATGGAAAAGAAAAAACAAGTTTCTTGTGCACTTCGGCTGAAGTTTGTGGATCTGGAATAGTTTGCTAGCAGTTCTGCTGAGCTTCTACCCTGATCTGATTGAGGATAATAATCCCAGTAACACATCTCACTTTGCCAGCAGGATATCTATTAGTATGAGACCTCATTCGGACTGCCATACTGCCTGTCAAGGTATCCTATTGGATTTAAGAGCTATATATCAGCTGAGTCACATGGATGAGAAGACAAATGGGATCACGTGTGCGCACACACAGCTGCAGTTTTTTATTCTGCAACTGATTTTCTTTGCATTCCTCTTAATTCAGGAATCACTCGATGTTCATTAACACAGCTCAGCACGATGGCATCCTCTGATAGCAGAGGGCCAGGCCACCTGCTTCTTTCTGCAACCACAAGCCCCACGTCATGACCCGCTGACCCCAGCCTACACTCCACGAGCTCAAGAGCACCAGGACGTCACCCTGCTCACAGCGGGACTGCAGACCTGCCTGCGCACACAGGGTCCGCCTGCGAGAGCCACAGTCACAGAGCTGGCTACTGACATCGCCGGGGCTTCATATCACTTTAATTAGGTTTTCAGAGTGTGAAAATGGTGTGGAATGCACAAGATTTGCCAGCCTGTTGTTTGGAGGATTAGAAGTTGCATATCTTTCAACTCGTTTACGAGAAAATTACACTACTTGTTATACGTTGTATATATAACCTCCCTCCCCTCACTATCCACCATCTGCCTCTAGTGAAAGTAAATTAATCTGTGGCTTTACTCTTAGTACTCCTGCTCTTTAATCTTTAGTAATAACTCCACAGGTACATTTCTTTTAAATTGGAAATGCACATGAACTCTTTGTATAATAATATAATGTTTCTTTATTAGCCCTATACAATTTCTTGCATTAGGAATTCATCTTTTCGCATACCCCAGCTTTTCTCCAGGGAGACACAGCCACACAGACAGGGAGAGAAGCTGGGGGTCAGAGCGCAGGGTCGGCCATTGTACGGCACCCCTGGAGCAGTTAGGGTTAAGGGCCTTGCTCAGGGGCCCAACGGAGTAGGATTCCTCTGCCAGCCGCAGGATTTGAACCGGCAACCTTCCAGTCACAGGCGCAGATCCTGAGCCACAGAGCCCCAGAGCCACCGCTCCGCCCGTGTACACAGTTGTTCACATCTGTGCAAATCTCTGGACACAGACCAGATCGGACCTACAATCGTCAGTGGAGGCCTTAAACTGTCTAGCGTCAGAAACACGTCTGACAAACGGAGACAACCTGAACATTGTGAAGGCGGCTAGGAAGAGACAGAATAGGCACACAGCACACAATAAGACAAACCAAAAAGAAATAAACAGAAGAAGACTTTTATATAGCCACATCCATAGGTGCACCAAAAACGTTCCTCCACTATTTTAAAGATTTTTTTCATACAGGTGACAGACCTTAACGCACAGACTGACATACCAGAACAAAGCCCCAATGACAGACACAAGCCAACTGAAATCTGTTTAAGAGACAGAAAGAAGGGGGCTGAAGCATAAAGAAAACAAAACTGATGTTTTTTTTGAAGTACAGGAAATCAATAAGCAATAATTAGGTTTGATTTTTTCCCCTTTTCAATGCAGACCGAGCCAGCCCCCCTCCCCAGCCCCTGAGAGTTAGCGCCCCAGTCTCATTTGCTTGGTGGTAATGAATAGGCGCAGAGACAGCACAATAGGGCAGGGAAATTGGATTTGCAGAGAGGTAATAGGCAAGCGTCTCGAAATAGAGCGACAGGCAGCTAAGCATGAACCCTGAATCACTGTCATCATTAAGAGCAACAATAGCAGGGAGGAGAGGGAGAGAGTGCGAGAATGGCAAACAGACAGATAAACAGAAGGGAATGAAGATGGAGGGAAAAAAAACATTTGCTGCCATTTGCCATAAGGAAGGACCATTTGAAGATGGGTGGCTTTTTTTCACTCAAGCACTGGTAATTTCAGTAGTCGGCTCTTGATCTTGTCATGCTGTCACTCCAGATAGCTTGTCTCCTTTAGGATCAGTTTTGGAGAATGGCGTGGGACCACATGTGATGTTAGAGAATAAATAAGCCTGAATGGTCCCGGTGGGGTTCTTGCATTTGGACTCTTCCTTGTGTTTTTCATAGACTGGCAAGTTTTTTTTTCTATCTGCTGCTTCCTACAATCACATTGGACAGACGTGCGATGAGTTCATCTCTTTCTACTGCTCTGTAAGTTAGAACTCTCTCTCACGCGCACAGACTAAAGATCCTTGCTATCTCACTAAATGCCATAAACTGTAAATGGATTTAAAAGAAAATCAGCTTATTAAAGGCTAAATGTAAGTATTTGCCTAAACCCTCCTCCCCCCAAATGTAGAACTAACACTAACATTCTAATGCTCTTGGCTAAAAAAACAAATCTTATAAAAGCATCAAAACACCCAAGAGAAGATTTAGCAAGAAAAGATTCATCCACTTTTAAACATAACTACTCTACTATATAGACACTTGTGCTATAAACTCCTGTGGACCTACAGTACATGACAATAAGGCATTGCTGGCCACTGTACAACAAGGCAGTGAGGGCTCAGTCCAGAAGAAGCACCAGGAGCCTTCAGACGCTGTAGGCAGGGAGGCATCTTTCTCAAATCACCTTTAAATTCATCCAGACTGTCAAACTAGGCTGAAGTAAATGGATCCAAAGGGATTTCAAAACCAAAAATGCCAGTATTGGAACAAGCCACATAGCAAATAACTATAAACCGCGTTTCTATAAGCTGAGAGAAGGGTTTGAGTTCATTTATATGAGAATATAGCAAGGTTGCTAGGTCTAATATGAAGCACATCTTCCAAAAGACACACGGCAATATAACTTATTTTGGTTCTCCCCATTGAGTGACAGTATTGGCTCCCAAAGATTCTTCAAGGCTTCAGAGTCAGCTGTGATTCAGCCTTTCTTCACTGGTGCGTGGTGTGTGGGCGGGTGTGGCTTTCACAAAGGACTTGGTGGATGTAACTGGTATTACTGATCTGGCCGACTCTTATCCAAAGTGACTTACATTTGCATCCATTTATACAACTGGGTAATGTGCTGAAGGACCCTGCTCAAGGACAGAACATCAATGTCTGACCTTGGATTTGGACCCACAACCTCCCAGTTACCATCCAAAACCTTGGTCACTACACTCCACACTTCTACCCAGTGTAGAAGCAATCTACTTTTAAATTCCTTTACTTTTAAAAAATCCACATGACAATTGAGGATAATTTGTATGAGACTGATGATCACAATGAATGTCTGTCAAAGCCATCATTTGATCTGAGTGTGAACAGGGGAAATTATTATAATAATTCCATACACTTAAGCTCTTTACAAGACTGTGGATTGTTCTCACTCCCCAAACACAATACCAGATCCTTCTGTGATTCTCCAAGCACCCACAGCACCGCAGTGATGAGCTGCAGTACCACTGTGCAGCCTGAAGTTGTCAAATCTAAGTAACCAAGCAAGTCAGTCATTAGACAGGACACCCATAGAGGTGCTGCTGGGGAGAATGCAGGTAGACCAGTAGTGTAAGAGAACAGCTAGCCAAACAGCAGTCCAAACAGGATGACAAATGGTTAAGTATCATTGGTCACTTCCAACTGAAAATAAATAAAGGCGACAAGCACCATGACAGATGCCCGCCTCCAAAGTTTATCTTGTGTTGTCAGTAAAATGCAAGCCAGTTCCGATCACTGCAAGCTGGGCCAAAGGCAATTGATTGCCCAGTCCTGCAGAACTGCTGAACTGGGAAAGCACAGATCAGGAAGGATTGATTGAGGACCTAACGCCGAACAGCCTAATGATCTCTCTAAACAAACATGTACAGTGTTGATCGATCACTGTCTGCACAGACACACTCTTCCCCCACAACCACCTTACCACTGCCCCAGGGAGCCCCGAGAAAGACACTTTACTGCCCTGGGCAGAACTGACTGGGAGGGCAACAGCGTCTGAGACCACTCGCTTACAGTTGGCTGAGGGACACTCAACACAATGCTCAAATGTTTTCCATGGCAAATGTATACAGACAGTCTGAATGGAAAGATCTTATGCTGATGCCTAAAATCAGGCCATTAGGCAAACAGGATGAATTCAAACAAATGAGATTCAGTAGCTGGATGTTCAGGCAGCTTGTTCACCTTTCTTCACATTGGTATCAAACGCACACACAGTGCAACTGATTTGTCGTGAGCCTTGATGGCTGGTCTTCAGGATGGCGATGTTGCCACACAAGGGCACGCACTGAGCTGCTCGAGCCAAGAGGAGGAGGGGAGGAAGAGGAGGGGCAGGCCTTACCGTGGAAGTGCTCGGCCGTCTTCCTGCGCAGGGTCTCCAGGGTCTCCTCGGAGTCCGCCCACTCCAGCACCAGCCGGCGCCCGTACAGGTGGGTGCTGTGACACAGGGCGCTGAAGGCTTTCTGTGAGCAGGGAGACACGACCGCAAAGAGAATTACAGCACTCACAAGGCAGAGCCTCTCTCAGGCAGGGGCAAGAGGGAGCAGAGCTAGGGTAGGGAACAGACCCAGCTCCCACTTCGCCAGGCAGCGCTGCCAATTAGGAGCGGCAGTCAGACGCGGAGGCTGGCGGAGGTGCCATGCTATCAGAGAAAACAGTAATTATGTCTCTAAACTGCTGCCTGTTTATTTAACCTGGCGCCGTGTTACGCTAATGTGGAGGAGAAGGGAAGGGGGTGTGACAGGGGTGCGAATGTGGCGATCACAAACAGCTGTCACCGTCCCGCAGTACGGTTTTTGCCGATACAAAACAAAAAAAATCCAAATCTCTCTAAAACAAAAGCTGCGCGTGACGCCTCAGCTCCTGAACTGCCAGGGCGGCCGCAGGGTCTCCGAGAGTCAGATGACGTGTGGAGCTGTGTGTGACAGGACTGAGTGAAGCTGCAGCCTGGTCTGGGGAGGGAGACCAGCCTGTTCTCCACAGCAAGGACACCGCTCCGGCGCTCCTGAGCCACTCGGCAGGCAAACGCACAAAACAAGGAAAACACTGAACCGGAAGCTGGGGTTTACCATTAGCTGGCTGTGACTGGAATTCTCTGAAGGAAATTCAGTCTTCTCTTCAGCCAACTGTCCCAGTATTGGTGGAGTTCAGTTAACAGTTAACTGTCATCAGAAAAAGCTCCACTTTACTGGGCGATGCAGGGAAACGATAAAAAAGGCACGCACTGACAAAGTTTACACTATGGACTTTTCTAAACAGCAATGATGTATGAGCCTAAGGTCAAATGCAAACAATGTGTAAGTGCTTTTAAAACTGAGAATAGGAGACACTTCTTTTCACAAAAAGGGCATCTAGAACAGGCAACCAAGCCTTGGTGTCTGATTTCTTTCAATTAACAACATCTGATAAATTAGCTATGAGCACCCAAACAGGGGAGATGGGTCCATGGCCCCCTTTCACTGTTTGATGACTTTTCTCTATAGACTGTTGAATAAAAAGTTTAAAAATCCATGTATAGGTCCTTCAAGGCATCTCTCAGTAGCTAAGCCCTGAATTGAAGATTACTAGGCAGAACACACTGAGATATACTCATACAACTAAAACTAAAATATTTATTTCACAAACCTCAAACCTACACTGTTTTTCCACAGACCAAAAAAATAATGCATTTCAATATCGATGATCAAATATTAGGAGCTACAGGCCGATATTTGATCTAAACACAGGTCACTCAGCTTTTCAGAACACTGAACAGTTACCGTGTGTTCCTTTCAGAAAACATACTAACCCACCAGGTCTTCACAGGAATAGAAAAGACCAAACTAAGAGTTAAAAACATACGCATTTAAGCAACATGAGCAGATGTGAAAATAAAGAAATTCAGGACAACTGAAAGCTCACTTCATCAACACTGTATGGAGTGAGCTGGAAGAAGAAAAAAAAGAGGAGAAATATGGAGTGTTAGAGGCGGACAATGCTGTATCCTGGCAAGTGTGATCCTTTAATGGGAACGCTTGACGAGAGCTCTTCTGCGAGCTACGCCTGGCAAAATGAAAGGGGCGCAGGAAGTGTCACTTCACTTTGTCATAATCAGCCCGCTCTGGCTGAGAAGGACGGAGAGAGACAGCTGAGACCCGGGCAGCAGGAGAAAGAGATTCAGGCTCCCAATAAAGACGGAACAGCCCCGTCTTGACTGGACACTACTCCACAGCTGAGAACGGCACACACTTCCTTAATTGCACTAGACATAATGCTGAGATGCCATTAAAAGACTCAGCAATGTAATAACGGACTGGGATATTACAGAGCAGACCGGTGCATATTCTGTAAAGAAAACGGGGGGGCGTGTGCTTGGTCCTCGATAGCCAATTTCTTCTGGTTTTTGCTCCAGCTGAGCTCTGGATGACTTAATTGGACCAATTATTTGCTTAATTAGCACAAGTCAGCATGTTTTCTAGGGTTTACACATGGACTATTTAAAGCTTCCTGGAAAGGGTGTAGACCACGGCTGTCAAGGAGCAGGTACTCAGACCCATGAATGAAACAAAGTACTTTGCATCACCTGCATTGTTCTATTATTTTAGGCTTAGTTCTCAGTCTCTTTTTATGTTAACACTTTTTTACCACGGCAGCTACCTTTTCCAGCTGGGACAGCTTAAATATTAAGAACATAAGAGGCCATTTGGCCTGTCATGCCTATTTGGTTGCTAGTAGCTAATTGATCCCAGAATCGTATCCCTCCGTTACTAGAAAGCCATGGGGTCTGCGTTGCTAAGACGGCTGGGTAGCTGCTTCAGACCTCGGCAATACTTTGTGTAAAAAATCCCCTGGACTCTCTGACTCCGTCAGTGCCCGGAAGGACCTTGAAAGCTTGATTTCTCACAGTCTTCTCTGCTCAAGGCTAAGAAGATTCAGTTCTCTTCACCAGTCAGTGCAGGACGTTTCTTTGGCCCTCAGGAGAGTATCAGGCTGGTCTGCTAACCTCTATCACATCATATTGGCTGTCTGAATTTGTATGCAATTAAGGAAATCAGATGGAATTTGTGATATTTTTAAAAATTAAAAAAAAAAAAACTCCTGTTTAGCTGTAGCTTTGCCCTCATGAAATTATCACTGACCTCAGTTTACGTCGAACTATTTTTTACGTTCCTATAAGTCATCGCCAATTTAAAAAAGTGGAAGCAATGCTTCACTTTTTCACTTTAGAATATAATTGGTTTTATGAAGAAATTGAGAGTTGATGCCCTCTAGGTCCAAGGTTGCCCACCTTTGACCTAATAAATGCAGCCTTGACTGAGCTTGATCCTGAAGGCTCCCTGCCTTGACATAAAAGATTCCTGGGTCATTCCATATTAAATCAATCGCTTGCTGACCTTAATGAAGATTTCCATTAATGTTTGCCCCTGGGAAAAACAGTTAGACCGATCTCTGGACTGAGACAGACAACAGTTCAGGTGACGGAGGTGCTCAAAATGTAGCCAATTTGGACCTCCTACCATAAGACGACCTTATCCTCATCACAGATAAACAAGGAAAAGATTTGGATATTTTAAAGGACGTTATTGCGTTGCCAAAGTATTGTATAATTGCTGCCAGAAAAAAATATTTGTGACCTCTGACCCTTTCAAAATGCATCTGTCATGCTAGCCGAATGCTGGCCGAGCGCGTGCGTCTGCGCGTCTGTCAGGGTGCCACCTGGCTGGCGAGTCTGCAAGCCCCACTCCCTCCGGGCCACTCCCCCTCCACTGCTGAGGCCCTTCGTCCAGCAAGTGGGTCCTCTACACTGCTGGACCGCGCCGCCAGTCCCGCTCCAAGAGCGCCCCAGTACAGCAACAGCCATGTTCCTAGTTAAACATACTGTCGTCTTTGACATCTTCGGGAATTTCTATTATGCACGCCACTGTTTTAGGCACGGCACACCCTTGAATACAGGCGTTTTAGGCGGGACTGAACCCTCAGACATTGAGTTTTCATTTTTACTCATTAGCACATATGACAAGATTAACATCAGGTAGACTGAATTAACAAAGACAAAACCAGCTCAAACTGTGTGGATACACAGAAGTCATGTAAATATCCTGTGGGGATGAAATGATGCTAACAGTGAAAAACTATAATTAGCAAGCTATAGGTCTGGAAATTGGTCAGCATGGCGTGGGGGTTGTGTCAACTGTACAGCGGCAACACGGCGCCAATCAAATGAACAAATGGAGCAAACGGTTAAAAACTCGGCATGCCTTTCTGTCTGATGAGGTGCATTCTGAAGTATTTTACTGCTACCGAAATGTGACCCGATACTTCCTTGAAAGAAAAGACGAACTGAAGGAAGCGTGAAAAGCTCTGCTGATTATTAACTAAAAGCAAAGAGCAACACCTTCAGGTGGGACAGGATCAGGTTAACAGGTCCAGGACATGCTGCATTTTCTATCAGCAGCTCCACTAACAGTGTGGTACATGAGGTTTTGATGCTCATATTGCAAACAGCACCAGACAGTAAAGCTGAGGGTACAAATGTTTATGTTTCAATAAAGAAAATGAAAAAAAGTTCAAAGTTAATAAGCATATCCCATCACAATAATTTGGACCCTTAAAAACGGTAAACATAAGGGAACTGTCAGCAAGCTGAAGCTGACAGCTCACTTTTAAACTGCATTTCATTAAGAGTCGTCAATTTACTTTCAGGCTGTTGCCGTGAAAGTCAGCGAATCAGGACTGAAGCACGAGGAGCAGCGAGAGGCCGACAAGCCCGGCGCTCACCTTGGCGTCCTGCTTGGTGAGGAAGTCGACGAAGCCGAACCCTCTGTGCGCACCTGTCCCGCTCACTTTTTTGGGCAGACGCAAGGTCTTCAGCTCCCCAAACGTGCTGTGGTAGAGAGGAAAAAAGCACTGTTTTACCACAGGGAGACAACTTTATCAGTAGAAATTCAATTTTATTGAGAGTTTTGGAAAGCACTGTATAACCATGCAATCTTCTTCCCATGTCCAGCAATGTTCCAAAGTTAATCAAAAGATGTGAAATGGGATATGAAACTTTTTTAGATTAATCTCCTTCTGTACAAGAGCAAGAAAAACACACAGGAATATACAGCATTCAGGGGGTATTACTCACAGCCTTATCTTAGACCTTATGTGCATGACAGAAATGGGTAAAAACCGCCTGGGGTAATTTCATTTTTTCTTTAATTTAAACAGGTGAAAAGAAAAACATGACAAAATCATGACTGTCCTGTTTGTATAATGAGCTCACAAAGATAAACCTACAAAGAGCACACCACATGCCAATGGTGCCGTCAATGAAGGACTGGGAATACTGGGAAGTGGAGGAAGCTCAGGATGAGCGCTGTGTGTTCAGGAGTCAGGAGAGGTAGGGAATTATTTTAATGAATGATGATGCTGGATGGTCAAGTTTTACTGAAGCACCACAGAACTCTGTATTAAAAAGCAGCAATCCAGAGAGACATTCCAACTGGCTGAGCTATCTTTTTGCGTTACCTCAATATCAATCTGTACAGCCCCTGGCTGACACGTTTCAGGTCTTGTGAATATCTGAAGACCGTTTTTTAATTATTGGCCCCTATTAAATTATGTAACTACAAGCTTTGTTAAAAAAGGTTTTCCGTTTTCCAACAGCTGAAGATTTTTGAATTTATGTAATAAACTTCAAAGAAAACTTAAGAACCTGAAACTTCTGAAGAGTTTAAACAATTACAGGGGTTTAATTAAAGCAGTTATTGGTTAAATTAAGAGTTTTAATGAAGTAATTTAGAACTAGGTTTGAAGAAAAGTCAGACCAGGCACTCCTGGGGGCTGACTCGGGGGGAAAAAGGCCCAATAAATGAGCGACTGACAGGCCTGTTCAGCCTAACAGCCCTCCTTCAGATCTACAAAAATCTGAGAAGAGACCCTGATTGTATGAAAAGACTCCACCTCTTCCCATCAACAATATTCTGAATGTTATTTTCAGAAATGAGCTCGGAGGGATTGATCACATTTCCTTGGGCGTGAATGGCTACATCGCAAACCCACTGCACATTCTGATCCGTGATCTTTTCACACTCATTTAGCTACTCTCTTAATGTGTTTTAATAGACCTCGGTACTAACACAGCCTCCTTTCTTAAGGAACAGAACTGGCAGTCCGCCAGAACGCTGCGAAGGGGGAGACGCAGACTGAAGAAAATTCTAATGCAAGCAGAAGAGAAAACACGATTCAATAGATTTTTCCCTTGCATCTCTCCCTTTTGTTTCTCCCTTTTGTTTCTTAGGCAATAAATGCCTAACAGTGGCTGCCAAGTTTCCTGCATGAGCAAAGCTGCGAAGAACAAGAAGGAGTGTTACAGGGTCAAGGTACAGCAGGTGAGGCTGAGCCAGTCCCTCGGCGTGCCTTACCTTCACTCAGTGTTCTCTCCACTCCCCCACGCGGATCATAGCGTTTCAGAGCTCTCACAGAGAAAGCTTCCCTTTGCAAGCGCGGACACCGAGAAAACCCAGCACCCCAAACACCAAACCTCAAGACTGGGAAGGGAAGCCAAACTACATCCCTTCCCAACAGAAAGAGGAGACATTTCTACAGGCCAGAGCATAACATCACTGTCGACGATCAAGGGACATTTCAGAACACTACTACAAGCACTCTACTCCAATGAAAGTCGACAGGCTAGTCTCCATCCCCTGATTCTCAGTCTTACTTTTAATTTCTACTGTTTTTAACAGGTTTACTCAGCTTCTTCCACTTCAAATAAACTTCCAAACTAATGCTCCGAACAAATCATTTCAATCACTTCAAATCTACCGTAGATTGTTCCGTGCTAAACCAACAATTTTATCAGAGGTTACATAGAGCCTAATTAGTATATCTTCGGTATACAAAGGACTTCCCCCGATATAGGTCTGTGAAACCATATATTATACATACTGGTCAGTGAAAGTATCTAAACTGCAGTTTTTAAATCAAATTACCATAGCAGAGCATTTAAGTATATTGTTTTCCATACCCAAATACCAAATTTAAAGACCTATACAGAGGAACCTGTAAGAGGAAGGTTAGATTCAAGCTCCGTAATATCATTAAAATGAATCAGAGTATCCCAAAACCCCCAGCTGTGCACGAACAGAGCCCCGAGAAGCCTGATCCTGTTTAGTGAGTTATAACATGAAAAAACTGCTCCCTTACATAAGCACTGCGAGAATGCCACTAGACCAAGTGTCACATTTATCGCAACTAACCGTGAACCTAACTGTCTGGTTCCTCTGACTGAAGGATTAGGCGGGTGGACTGAAACACAGGTGTAAGAACAGGAAAGGGGAAATAAAATGAGGACGTGAAATCTGTTCGGATCACTTCCCCTTTTCAATGCACACCTGCATTTACCCCTACTTGCCTCGCCAATCCTGTTAACGGGCTTTAGCAGCAGAAAGAATTCCTTTCAGCTCAAGCCTGGGCAGGAGCGTTCTGAGGCCGGTGTGGGGAGGGCGAAAGGTGGAGGAGGCCACACAATCACGGGTACAGCGGATTGCAATCGCAAGCCTGAGCTGGCGACACAACAAAGAAACAGCGATTGCTTACCAGCTCTTGGCTCATATAGCCTGGCAGGAGAGGCCAAGGAGTCATTTTGAGCGCAAGACTTGGCAAAAAAACCATGAAGTCGAATAATGTCAATAGCCAATGGGCTTCACCTCCCTGTTTAACACCTAGTGAGATGAAAGCAGTGCTGGGATTGTTAGAAATCAGGTCAGGTTAGCATTAAGGCGTTCTCAATTTCACGGCGAGCGTTGTGCTGAGCTAATCCAGGGGACGGGGGGTGGCTGGCCCAGCGAGAGAGAGCCCTGTAGAGGCAGCAGTGGTCAGATCAGCCAGCAGGGTGGCTGTCCGAGTCACCACTGCAGCAGAATTCACATCTCCGGCTTCGCTACGGCCCCACCCCTGGAAGGCAAGGATGACCCGTTTCATCCTCTCCCAATTTCACATAAACCACAACTTCCAGCACCAAATTAGAATTTGATCAATAGTACTATCAATCAGACGGGCAAAGGAAAATCTAAATAAATGAAAATTAGGCAACAAGTGATTTGTTGCCTAACATCTTAAAAGGCAAACCTCTTAAAAAGCACAAATGAACACATGTATTGGGGTTGCATTCATAATATTATGCCAACAATTAGTAAAATTTATAAATTAAATACTATGGTACATAATGGTACATTTATATTTATAGTAATACTTATATAGCACAATTTTCACTCAATGGTAACTATATATTATTCTTAATTATCAGTGATGTTATTGAAGTGGTTATTGAAGTGGGCTAATACGTGAATGCAAAAATTGATTTTAAGTTGATGGTGCATCTCAAGATAACATGAATGTTTTTAATTAAAATATATTAAGAATCCAGAAAGTAATAAATTACAATAAAAGTATCTTCTTTTCAGCAGAAATTCTATATTGTATTTCTTCAGTTTTGGATTAATACTTCTATTTTTCCCTGAAAAAGCAGAACAGTGTTTCTGCAGAGAAAGAATGCAGGTTTAAAGGTATTTTAAAACATTGACATCACTTTCACAAGCAAACATGAATCGGCGCCAATTGTCCACGTGAACTCTGTGCCACATGGTCACCTACAGTACATGTACATCACTTGAGCCGTTGAAAGCTTCAGGTACTACACTGTAATGCACTGACTGGGTACTGTAACCTTGTGCTTCATGAAGAAACATCTCCTACAAAACACTCCTCTCTTCAAGTGCTCTGCAATCTCTACAATGTCTTACAAAAGAATCTCTCATTTGCAGAGTGATAAAAAATAAGAGATGCTGTAGCTCTGTCTCACCTATGAAACACAGGCCATCCCAAAGTGATCTGACTTGCTACTTGAGCAGCACAGAAGAGAAACAAAGGCCAGCACTTCTGAGCATCAAGTTAGTAAAAAAAAACCTTCAGCCCTCAGAGCAGGAGACCAGCGGCAGTGCAATTCAGCTCTGCCACAATTACCTGAAGCAGCACGATGTCGAAAGGCAACCCCTCCCCAGGGCCAACGGGACGCATTCGCATGCATGAGAAACGAGGCCTACTCTAGACCTGAAGAGGACAGGGGCAGAGCCACACCACAGCTGCCCAGACCGCCAGGACCGGCTGTGCGAAACGGCAGGGTCTCCCTCATGAGACATCCAGGTTACAGGAAGAAGGCATCACCTTCTACAGCAGGTTCGGTGCCAAGTGATTGTGGTGAAACAGAGGCACAATATTATAAGCTGGCTAGGGTACAAAAAGAGCAAAACTGAACCACAAATGTATCTGATTTCAAAGCAAAAGAATGATGGCAAGAATGCAGGAGCCATCATGTTTTTCTGTTTTTTTCCCCAAAGCTAAACAGAGGCTATCAGAGCCATTTATTACACACGGTAGAGACGATGGATCAAAAACTGTAATGAGGTGACATAAAATACAAACAAAAAACCTCGTGGTTTTTTTAGAGTTTCCTAGAGTTGGGTGTACAGCTTGTTGAGTGCTTGTTTCTCTTTAAAGAAGCACAAAAAAATAAACTCCATACATTATGCGAGTCTCCTGCTACACTTCATAACCCAACTGCACTGTTTTAACCAGCTTCAGCAAATAGGAGCAACCAAAACTGGTGTATTCTACATAAAACAACTAATCATCCACAAGTAGAGGTGTATATATTATTCTCTCTCAATTTATCTTTTACTCTCTCACTCTCCTGTGCCTTGTATTTTTCTTTCAAAATTCATAATTCATAAGCGCAGCAACGTTCACATCTAATGCACATTTGGCGCTATCGGGAGCCCCAGTAAAAGACGGCTAAAAGCACATGCAGAAAGAAAACGGGTTCCGTCTGCAGTAACT